ATCTCATTTATCACTTTCACGGGTTTATTACGAATCAACTTAACGGCCTGCTCCCAGTTGGCTTGTTAGCTCAATTGGTAGAGCGCTGCACTAGTATCGCAGAGGTCAGTGGTTCGAGTCCCGTACAGGCCTGATTTTTTTTTCAGGTCTGATTTTCGCTATTCAAATAGCGCTATCTACTGCGAGGATCATGCATCATACCTATCTAATACCGCAGTTCAAAATATATGATCTTCATATATTCATTGCATCTCATTTGAGCGTCTTAATCATCAAATTTTAAATATATTTCCTGATAACTTACAAGTTGGTCTTCTCAAAACGTTCAATGGAATCCCTTATTTTGCTCAGTGTTTTGCCACGCTTTTCGTCTTTTACACCATTCGTCTCCTCCGCCTCCTCGATCTTTTCTATCTTTGTCTTAATGATTTCAACTTCACTCTTCATTCGAGCGCGTTCTTCGTCAAACTGTTCTTCCAACTCAGCTTGTGCTGCAGAGGCAGCTTCCAAAAATTCCTTCATCATGCCCCCGCTAAAAAACTGTTCAACAATGGTACGAGTTTAGGTCGAGTGAGCTATTTAAGCAATAGGCCACAATTTCTTTCGGTTTACCGGCGCAATAACTCACGCGGAATGATGGGAAAAAATGGAGATCAGACGAGTGGTTTACAGACTTTTCTCGTGATCTTCCAACATCTCAAGTGGGTTACCACGCCAGTAAGCCGACAGAAAGTGCGGCCTATTGCAATAAAGGGTCAAAAGTTTTTTACCAATCGGGGTTCTCGTAGTGTCTCAGTCATTTCATAAATAGCTGTAATTTCTATCGGGCTTAAACAGCAAAATGCTCCGATTCTTTGCAGAAGTTTGATGTCCTATTTCCAGAAAAAAAGGGTTGAACAAAAGCATAACTTTCCACAGGTATATTCAACAGTAACACCTGCATGAATAAAAGCTTTTTAAACCTTTGCCTTTCAAGAAGGTTGCAACTCATTTCCTTTCAAAATAATTGATAGAACTTGGCGTTGCATCAAGATAACAAGGCCAAATAAGCTAGTTAATTCTCATCACTTATTTGCTGGATTATCTTTGAAACTGTGAACCGCCTCTGGGGGTTGATTGGCGAAGAAAACAAAGAACAAACCTTCTGAGACTCTTTAAGTGATTCCGCAAATAAATTTAAGTTAGGCTTTGACTTTTGCTGTTCCTTTTGTTGCGTGTCTTTATCTTCATCTTCAAATGTGTCTTCTTTCTCAGACATGATTTCACCTTCATATTTTTCTGCTCCAACCTGACCGTCGGCGATATCTCCCCCCTTCTCTGGATTTCCCACACTTCCAACCTCCTCCTCCTTATCAAACACTTTCAATAAAAAAAAAGAAAATGTATAGTAATAAAGAGAAAACGCATAGTAATATATGGTGCTGAATGCCGTTGGAAAACAAAACATATCTTTAAAATTTGTCCTTCGATGAGGGACAGAAAATACAGAAGTAAACTATTCTCTAAACTAGATCAGTATTTTCTTTTGACTGAGACAAATAACACTAAGAGTGTGTTTTATGTCACTGCACTAAAATAGCCATAAAATGAGATGATCAATTAAAAAACTTTCGTTTAACGCTTTTCACATTTGCCCACTATTTTGACAACTACCTGGCTTCAAAGTACACCTTTGGTTGTCCTAGCCAGCAAACAACACTACGGCTCAATCCAAAGAGTTATGAACTATCCTTATGTAAAAAGTAAACCGCAGAATTTGCAGGAGAAGTAAACAAAATCAGAGTTACTTTTCAAAGTTTGTTCCCTCCGTAACCCTCAAGCTTAAACTCGATAATGTGAATAAGCTCCTCAGTATGTAACCAGACAAAAAACGGTTAGATGGTTATTCTAATCACAAGAATCTGCCATGATTCACCTTCAGGTTTGACACCCAACTTGTTTAATTTCTCTTTCACAGTAGATCTCAGTCTAAGGATTGCTTCATCGACGTTATTCCTCCATTCCCCATCCAACCCTTGCTCTGTTTTGGTTTCTTTTCCACCCTCTTTGCTGGCCACATCAATGTCCTCCGCTTTTCCTTCTTCTTCTGAAATACCTTCTTCCCCTTTAATCGCCTGTTCGCTGTTTTGTTCATTAGCTACTTCATTAGCTTTCTTCACCTCATTACCTTCAACACTTCCTTCTTTCTCGCCACTTTTCTCCTTCCTCTCAATTGGCTCTTTAAGTTTTTTTTTATCCCGCGTTTCTTTCATTTCATCTTCGGAAGGATTTTCTTCTTTCTCTTTAGCATCTCCCTTTTGCCTGTAGGAAAATAACAAACAAAGGATCCAATGCGGGAGAAAGAAGGCGATTCCCCCTTAATCGGGTGCTAAAACGACACTCTTAGGTTTGCCTATTTTCAGATCAAAGATCAGAAATCGAAGATGGTATGTGTCTTCCAAAAGAGGACCGAGGAGACTCACAAAGGACGCTGAGATTCTCTTTTTAACTTCAATGTGCACATGCGCATTCGCGTCCTTAAACTAACCAGGGCCAAACAAAGGGCCGCATCTCCAAAGCATTCAGTGACATTTGTAAGAGAATCCGTAATGAGCAGCAGAGTTTATTAGCTCATTAAATTTACCTTTCCATGATTGGCTGTCTCTTCCTCTGGATCTTTTGACTCATTATGGTGATACCCTCATTTTCAAGATGCCCCATTGCATTTTTCTTACGACCCTTGGTAATGTCCAATCTGTGTATATCAATTTTGTCTTGCTCGATATTTCCATCAATCCAAACTTCGTCCTCGCTTTCAACTCCAGGGTTTTCCCATGGCCACACTTGGCTTCGCTTTGATCTCGGTTTCTTTCTATCAAAGACTTCTTCATCATCATCTTCCTCTATCTCATCTTCACCTTCAATTTTCTCTGCAGCTCTTACTTTTCGAGCACTGTCTTTAGCTTCTCTGGCTGCTTTGGCTTCCTCTTTGGCCTTTTTTCGTAATTCTGTAATTCATAAGATAAAACATCACAAGAGTACCAATGGGATGCCATGAAGTTGCACATCTTACGGGGGCGAGTTGTCTGGGGCTAATTGTCCAGGGGGCGAGTTGTCTGGGGCTAATTGTCCAGGGGGCGAGTTGTCTGGGGCTAATTGTCCAGGGGGCGAGTTGTCTGACATTCCCTTCAAACAACTTCTACAAAGCTGAGGCACTAATTCTGAAAAAAGTTCCATTATTGAAACTACTCACCAACTCTGTCCACATAAATTTTGTATCGTTCCTCAGATAGGGCTGGAGAGCAGGTAATATACTGGGGTTCCTGTGCTGGGGAGGACCTGAACAAGTTGTGTTTGCAAAGCTTGTTGGTGTGTACTGTGATCACATAAGAACAGGATGATGGTTCGTCCACTCTTACTACAAAATCTGCTCTATCTTCATCGCAGAATATCTGAAAAGCAAGAAAGCACTATAAAAACAGAGTTATGTGGGAGCATTCAATACAATGAACACAATAGAATGGAGGATTGGGAGGAAAAAAGTAGACAGTTCCGTTTTAATGCAAAGGTAGAAAAATTTAGTTGCAAACTAACACAAGGATAAAGAATCAAGCAATGAAGGTAAAAATGGAAAAAGGGAAGGGATAAACTGTAGAAGAGGCATACTTTGGTGTAATAGAATTGAGAAATTAAGAAATGGTGGGAACACCGAAGAAAAAGAACTGGGGGCAAAGAAATGAACAAAATTAAATTAAGACAGCAACAAACAATAGCAAAAGGGCAGAAGGAGGGCTGGTACAGTGAAAGAGAAAAGGAAGGGAAAAGGATGGAAAAGGAGGGAAAAGCAAGGGGAAAGCAAAGGAAACTGAAGAAAAAGCATGTGAAAAGCAAAGCAAAAGCAAGGGAAAAGCTGGAGGGGTAGGGGAAAGGAAGATTAAAATTAAGCAAGGAAAAGAAAGAAGAAATAGAGGTAAACAATTCAAATCACAGTGATTATATATCACAGCTACAGTACCTTAATTTGAGTTTCTCTTCCTTTGCCTGTTAAATCACACTCAGTGCCATTCACATAATACTGGGAATGATATTTTGTAGCCACTGAACTTTTTCCTGGTTTAGGTTTTTCCTGCAGGAGGAACAAGAAAAGAAAGCACCACACATTTAATAGTCCATTAATTTGGTAAAGCGAAAATGTCTCTCCATAATTCACCTAACCATCACTATTGTTTTTAGAGGTAACCATGTCTTAATAATCACTATGGTGAAAGCAGAAAATAACATAAAAGAAAACAGAGCTTATCAAAGAGTATTTTCCTGCACATGTTTATATAAATCTAATTTTAAACAATAGATATCATGATATAAAAACACTATGGCTGATTACGTGATCACAAAGAGAGGCTACCAGATTAGCCACTTCTGATGTTAACTGATGACAACAAACTTTTTTTCACACACATTGGAAAGTTACCACAATAGTAGCACCTTGGAGTATCATATACAGGGTTCTCAATAAGTTTTGATGTAGACGGCTGAAACGTAAAAGTAGGCGGCGGGAGAAGCAAGTACCACAGGCATGAACCTCTAAGAGGGTCTGGCAGCCTGCCCCCTCCCCTCCCCTCCTCCGTAAAACTTCAAAATATAGAAGGTTAGATTTGCCATTTTGAGCCTTTTGGCAAACAAATTTGGTTTTAAGAAATAAATTTTTTATTAGAGACAACCATAAATTTTATTGAACATCTTTCTTTTCTTGGAATCCTAATAATGAGACCAGACTACACCTCAAAAAGGGCAGTAGTTTTCTCACCTTCATCTACCTGGCTTTCCGTTCTTCGTGATTTACAGAAATATCGATCAATTCCAGGCTGGCTTGAAGCGGGTTTTCTTTTACTCATGGTTACTCTATAATTAATTACATACTAAGATTTCATGCCTTCTTCTAACACGCCCAACGCCATTTCATGCCTTCTTCTAACACGCGGAACGCCACACCGCACTTGATGACAACAAACACTGGTCAGTGGAATTTCACAGAAGGTAGAAGGCGCGCATTGGCATTGTGTAATACGTTTTGCTGCTGAAAACGGCTTTCAAGTATTATTCGTTCGATTCACGGGATTTTTAACTTTGAAATCTACGTGTAGATACAAAATAAGGAGGCAAGCTTGTCACTGAAAAGTAGGCGGCTCTAAATTTAAGGTAGCCGGTTTTTTAGCCGGCTGCCGGCACTTAAAGAGAACCCTGCATATAATGTAGTAATTTGAAGCAGATTTAAAAGACTGACCAAACATAAATTTGTAAATGGAGATTGTCCAGAGTTGTTAACCAATTCATTTAACATTCAAAGGAGTTTTTACCTTTAGGTCAATTTTCTCTTGACTCCAGTCAGTCTCATTACTAAACATTCCTAAGGAAATTTTAACACCAACAACTTCATTTGCTGAAATGAAGTAAAAAGTGTTTGGTTAAAAAATGTCAATATGCCTGACAATCCCTCTTTATCGATCAAGAAGAGGTTCATGTCCAGTGAACAACAGTTACAGTACTGTAGATGTGAGTAAGTTGGGAGATTTCCAAGAGTGCAAGCATCAACATCACTCCAACCCACCCCTATCTCTGTTGTAAATAGAAAAAAGGATTAACTCTGTGGGTGTGCGGAATAAAGTAACAGTATTACATGACTTTTTGTACAACATCAACTTCTTCTTTAGTTACTCAAAGGAACACAGACCAATTTCAAAGGAGAATTTAGCAGTTCATATATCTGAGGTCACTTAGGCTTTATATCAAGCATCACTTGAAAAAAAGAAAAGAAAAAAACAAAACTGGTTATAAAAGGCCATTAAAGCAGAACCAGCTATTGGCAAAAGTATAGCTGTGTAATGATTCTCTTCCAAAGCTTTTAAGCTTTCGAAAGGAATCATGGAATAGCAATATATTTGTAATGAAATATTGGATGGATTTCACAAGTGTTAGTTTTGATTTATTCAAGCCATCTTTCACTCTTAACAATTTACATGTGCAATCTTTCAGAAGCTAAAAGCCTTGACTGCAGACAAAGTGGTAATCTTGCAATTACATGGTATCATTCTCTAGTTCCACAAAAAAGTAGTTACTTAAATAAAAAAGGTGATACTTTCTGTTATATATTTCATAATTAGCACAACTGAGTTTAAACTGCTACCTGAAATAAACCATTGGATCCTAAACCAAAACAAATTAAACAAGACTAGTACACATGTATGCTGCCTGGTGGTTATTCTCACCTTCCATATGATACTGGTAAATTCCTTTTCCAAAACATACTTCATAAGTCCACCATCCTTTGTTCTAGGAAAAAAAAACAAGATGTACATGCACATTTACAAGTAGGTTACAGAAGTACAGAAATACAAGTAATACTTAAATTCATGATTGACAAAAAAAGTGATTGTCCATTTAACATAAGGAAAGAATGATTCAGGTCCTTCAATTTCTAAAACAAATGCTGAATCTTCATTTAAATTAACTTCTTTCTCATTCTACACAATTGGATTTTACAGGATATGTTATGGACATAAGTACTTTGACTGACTTCGGCTATCCACAATTTAATCTTCAACTTCAACTTTACTGAAATGGCATTATGATATCAACCATCCAGAATAAACAACTAATCAGAGCAACATAATAAGGTGTAAATTTCTAAGAAGCCATGCCTCATTCTTTACATTTCTTAGTTAACACATCTTCATTCATTACAATTTTTTAATAGGAAATTTCTGATACACCCAACTTGTCTCAACTTAAATTGATCAGATACAATGAATATATGAAGTTCATAAATTCATCGTATCTGATTTATCATTATGGATTTATTACGAATCAACTTAACAGCCTGCTCCCAGTTGGCTTGTTAGCTCAATTGGTAGAGCGCTGCACTAGTATCGTAGAGGTCAGTGGTTTGAATCCCGTACAGGCCTGATTTTTTTCAGGTCTGATTTTCGCTATTGCATAAATAGCGCTCTCTACTGCGAGGATCATACATCATACGTACTTAAATTGATCAGTCTTAAAAAAGTACATTAGATGGTCAACTTAAGCACTCTCTCAATTAAACCCAGATATTTCAATAAAAGCCAATAAGCAGTGTTTTACCACCACTTGTAAGACTTCTCACCACCATCTGTTTTGTCTGCACGTAGGCTCCTGTGTTTGGACTTCACCTTACAGCAGAGTCGCTGATTACACTATGGTGACCCCCAAGTTTCTTGACAATTAAGTTCTAGAATATTCCTGAGTTATTGCCTGACATTCAGGTCTTAAACAAGTATTTCACAATTCCCCATAAACAAACGCCTTAATAAGCAAAGCATTTCTATTTGATGGCTGTTGTTGTTCATGAATAAAGAAGATTAACTCATATTAGTGTTCATCAAGAACACTAAACACCATCAACAGCCCTAAACACCATCAACAGCCCTAAACACCATCAGCAGCCCTAAACACCATCAGCAGCCTAACTTATGGAATAAGTTATTGAAACTCCTTTACATAAACTGTTTTCTTATTACAATATTATACCAGATGGCTTCTCTATCCTGATGTACAAATAGTTTCAGTAGGCATATAAGCACTTACATTGTACAAACACTTTTTCTTCAGTGGTTCTAAAAGCTGAGGAATTTCATCTCTAGATATATGTTGGATATCTTCATCCTTTTTTTTGAAATTCTCAAGCTTCGGAAGAACACACTGATATTGCTGTCCATGCTTGGATGATAATAACACTGTATTTTCAAGTTCTGAACTCTGAAATAGATATGACATAAAAAAATTAGTTTCCAACCCACAAAAAAAAAAAAAATTGATAGTGTGTTTTCCTTGGAGTAAGCAGACATGTAAAGAGTAAATAAAGAAAATTTACATGTGGATACAAATTTTATCTTTAAGTGTTGACAATACCACTCAAAAAGGAAGCGGATGGGGCAAAGTCATATTAAGCAGGCAGTAATCTATTTATTAAAAAGATATCAATAAAATATTCAAATCCATGACAAAATTACGTTTATTTGCCTACCCATCTTACAACGTTCAGTATTACGATGAAATGATGAAACCCTGATCAATTTTTGTGACAGAGAGGTTGTTAGATCTGCACCAATCACAAGAACCCAAGTGTTAACTTAAATTAGATCGAAAGTAAGAGAATGCAAGAAATCGTCTCTATAAGTAAAAGATCTGCTATTCCAGATCAAAATGAAAAAAACTGTCCTGAATATTAAACATCTTTACTGGAGATTTGAAATTCTTGTAATTACGAGATCTTTCGACGTCTCTCCATCTGAAGCTGCAGGTGCCCGCACCTTCTTCGTAACAGCTTATCAAAGGAAAATAAATTGACAACGTTGCGTTACACTATTGGCGGATAGAAAATTATCTGAAAACTAACCTCTTTCAAGAGAACTGGCTCCCTAGAAATCTCAAATCCATACTTAACACCATATATTTCCTCTTCATTAAAATTTGAATCCACTAAAGAGAAACAAACACTCAAAATGTTAAAAATAAACAACTCGCCGGATAGCTTCCCTGTGATCACCATTTTGTTATTTATTATTATCTCGTCTAGACTCCTGGGAAATATAGACATCAAACTTGGTAGCCTGGCATTTTAGCTTGGTAGCCATGCGTAGGGCTTAGTAACCAATTCGATCAAACATGGCGGACAAAAGTCTTCAGGTTCTTCTTCACCCAACTTCGCTACGACAACACGTTCAGCAGTGGTTAGCCGAAGACACGCCAAGCTTTGATTATGGAAGTTTCGTTGTGGGAGAAAGTGAAGAAACAGCAGTATTGCTGTGCAAATCGGGGGGTATTTTAGCGGGAGTTCCTTTCTTCGACGCAGTATTCCGTGAGTTGGGGTGTAAGGTGGAGTGGGTGTTTTCCGAAGGCATGCAAGTTGAACCCACGACCACGGTGGCAAAGGTAACTGGGAAAGTTAACAAGATTCTTCTAGGGGAGAGAGTGGCCTTAAATTGTGTTACAAGAGCGAGTGGAATCGCGACGAAAGCTAAGAGTTTGGTGAAACTTAAGGAAGACCATAAATGGCACGGAGAAATAGCGGGAACTCGGAAAACTACCCCGGGTTTTCGAATCGTGGAAAAGTATGCACTTTTGGTCGGCGGGGTTTCCACTCATCGTTTTGATCTATCCTCCATGATCATGCTTAAAGATAATCACATTTGGACAGCTGGGAGCGTCAGACATGCAGTAGAAGAAGCCAGAAGGGTCGGAGGATTCTCAATCAAAATTGAAGTGGAATGTCGAAGCATCGAGGAGGCAAGAGAAGCTGCCATTGCAGGAGCTGATGTTGTCATGCTAGATAATTTTGAGCCCTGGGCTCTCCACAGGGCAGCCGAGGTCCTGAAGAAAGAATTCCCGTATTTATTCATCGAGGGAAGTGGAGGAATAACGATAGAGAACATCGCGCAGTACTTTGGATCGCATGTTGATGTGATTTCGATGGGATCTCTCACACAAGGCTACGGGACAGTCAATTTTTCTTTGAAAATTCTGAAGGAAGGACATGACCCGCACAATCCAATTGTCAGAACTTGCTAATCGTTAGTAACTGGATGGTTACTCTGTTTTCATCACTTTCGATTTAGCGTCCCTTTGTAACGAAGAAATTGTACTAGATAACAAGAAAGATTGTTTTTGATGTAAAACACTGATGTATTTGATTAATTTTATCAATAGGTTACAAAGAACTTTCACACCGAAAATTACATTTAGTCAGTTGTGTGTCTGCTTTCTTGGAATAAGTCAGCGCATCGTTTACTCTGCTTAAGTAATGTTTATAAACTAAAAGAAATCGTCACTCAGAGAATGAGTGTAAATTAACAACTTTCTATTTGGTCCTCAGCAGCTTTCTGAAGACCAGGGGAAGTCGGGGTCGTGCCCCTCCTCAGATTCCGTGAGACATTTTTTAACTCAGAGGTCTTGCTCTTTTGTGGGATGTGAGGAAGTGTCGTCGGGAGGGATTCCAGTAATCCCTTATAGATATGGCCGTCCTGTCCTAAGATATCCACGGGTTGGATTTCTTTTTGTGGGACGAGGAAGTCCAAGTCGTCCCTGTTTAGCTGAAGTCCACGAACAACAGACTGACTGTGGGGGTAGGTAAGGGTATGTACTCCTCCACAGGCCCTTGCAGTGACCTCGGCCAATTCTCGGAGATCGTTGACACCACTAATGATTAAAGCAAGGTAGAACAATTATTATTGTTACGGTTTTCAATACTAAATTTTAAAAATACAAAGGTCTTGCCCTACCCTGTCGTTAATTTTGACTACGACAAACCCTCCAAGTAAAAATATAGGATCAAAATTGTCGGACGTAACCTAGCTGTCTAAGTTTTTGGGGTCTGTACATGCGCCGTGAATGAGACTTTTTTTCGGGAATCAGCCCCGGGGGAAATATAACCTCGGTATATTTGTTTAGACGTTCATCGTGGCTTTCTGCACAGCCGTTGTTGGTCACGCTACGCAGCGCATTCTCCAAATCAATCATTATTGTAGTTCCTCTCTGTACGCATGTCTATGATCCATCCATTAGACAGATGCAATAAGGTGGTAAATATTTTTTGTAATGAGATTTTGAGGTAAGGAAGGGGAACACCAACCTGAGTCGTAAAATTTCCTTCTGTAACTTGCTGCGTTGCTTCTCCAACAGTTCAAACCTTTCCTTCGTCATCGTCAGTCCTCCTTGGAGCATGTGCTGTCGGATCTGTTCCAGCTCAAAAGTGGTGTAAGGACGGGTTGACTTCGACCCCGGCATGCAGCGCATCATTGGTAGAGGGGGAAAAGTCTCCTCTCTGGCGTATTTAACTGGGCGGTCACATGATATACAGTTGTGATCCACTAAGAATTGCTTTCGGATCCCTGCTGCGAATTCTTCTGGAGGCGGCCTCTCCACCGGTTTTGGTTTCATGGATTCCATTCGCGACTCCAGGTAACGCTTCAAGGGTTCAACTTCTTCTCTGTCGAGTTTCTTGCCGACGTCTGAGTGGATTGCTTCTATGGCTAATTTCAGGGCGTTTTCCTAAATGGGAAAGATTGTACTCAACTTTCTATTCCTCTTTACTCGAACCAAGTGCATAGCTGAATGACTCATGGACAGACCGTCTGACCGTCTGACCGTCTGACCGACCGACCGACCGAACCATCGATCGACTGATCTACAGACAGTCAGTCAGTCAGCCAGCCAGCTGCCGGTCAGTCGTTCAGTCAGACAGACAGATAGACAGACCTACCGACCGCTTGACTAACTGACTGACTGACTGACTGACTGACTTACAGTCAGACAGACAGACAGACAGATCCACCCATCGCTTGACTGACTGGCTGACTGACCCACTAACTTATGAACAGACTGATGAATCCTCTAACTTATAAGCAGACTGTACAACCTACCCACCGAGAGGCTGACTGACTGACCATATTAAAGCAGAAAAGAGATCGAATAAATTAAGACTAGCCCACTATTGATAACATCTACCCGGGAAAAACAGACCACAACTCAACACCCTTCCGCTTTCGGCTTTTTTCTACAAGATTGCATATCGACAAATCTTACCCAATTTTTCTTTTTCTTCTTATGCCAAGATTGCATATCAACAAACCTTCCCTAATAGGATGCCCGTTTGCTTACAACAGGTATGACCAAATTAAATATTTGATTTAACTTACGTAGCCTTCCAATCTTTGCAGCAAATCTCTTAAGGACTGATCGATAAGACCTACGCAGTGTTCAAAGTCTTCCCTCCCAATCTTGGTCTCCACATCCCTTCTATCAGCTTTCAGCTCAAATCTTACATTCAGTAGTTCTTTATCGACCTTTACGTCTCTCAGTTCGTCGACAATGTTATAAAGATCATCCAAATGCCTTTGTTTCCTGTGAAGCTCGTCATTCAATCGGATGTCGGTCTGTTTCAGTTCTTCTTTTTCTTCTTGTAACTCGAATATCATGGCACGGATCAAACTCAGTTCTTCTCGATCGACACTGTACGCACGGTGCCTGGACGTCGAAGTTTCCTCTAAAACAAATTGAAAAATCTAAGGTTTTTACGAGTTTAGCATACTATAACAATTATTCTCCACAGGTTCAACGTTCACAGGTCTCGTTTTCAATGAAGAATTATGCAGAGTTCATCGTAACTTGGTATGTAGAGGTGGTGTTGTATTTAAAATATCATGGCAGTAACTTAGAAGACACTATGGTTGACTCTCATGCTCGTTGTAGTATAAAAATAGTTTAAACTTCTTATCGTAGAACGAAACTGTCAGGAAATGATGTTTTTCAAGAGTGTGCACGGCTTACTGAGTATTTTACACCCTTACTGTTTTAAACTTCTTCAAAGACAGGCATTTTAATAACCTGATATAATAGATGCGTCTTGTGCAATGCAATGACTTTTATAATCTGACCCAACTCAATCATTATCCACAGTTTGGCAATAAGGGGAAGGAGTTGCGAGGCTACATGTTTCCCTTTGAAATCGATAAGTTTTCACTTGGACTTCGCAAAGCTTGGTGTGGTCTGTAACTGTAACAGGACAACAACTCTGCAGGAGCCCCCCCTACTGTGAAATTCAGCTTTATTTCCTGATTATTCCAACCATTTTACGCTATACAGGGTCGTATATAAGCTGAGGCTATAACTGTCAGAAGAATTTGTCCTCACCTTTCTTCTTGTCCGTAGCCTCTACATTTGCCCGCTGAATACTTTCACATTTCATCAGCGTCATCGCGTTCCTTAGCTGGTGAATCTGCATTTCCTTGTCTTCGATTTGTAATTTATGATTTTTCAACTCTTTCTCCGAGCTTTCTTGTTTGGTTTTGATCTCGTTGATTTCCTCGCCACACACTTCAAGTTTTGTCAGGGTGTCTGTCGCAGCCTGTTCAACTCCACTTAATTTGGAACTCACTCCATCCAGTGAACCTTCTACCTCTTGAATGTGAACCTCCAATCCCTGGAGTTGTTTTTCATGAGCATCGAGTGTTTCCTGTATTTTGGGATCTATTTCTTGTATGACGTCTTTCACATTTTCAGTTTGGACGTCGTCCGGTGTGACAAGAACACGTGGGCTCCTAGGTCTATTTGTAATCTCAGCAATGGCTTCTTTCAAGGTTGATAGCTCACCTTCAAATCTATCCATTTTCTTCTCGATATTTGTCAGTTTTGATATCTCTTCACCTTCCTCCTTGTTTGCTTTCTCTTCTTTCATCTCTTCCACAGATTTCCGCAGTTCCTCTATATCAGAGCACAGATCAGTTGAGGTATTATGGACTTTCGGTAAAGATCCTTTCAGTTCGTTCAGATCAGACGCTAAGGCATCTACCATTTCTGTTAAGCCCTCCAGAGAATTTTCCAACGCGTCAAGCGTCCGCTTTATGTTGATCAACTCCACAAAGTCATGAGCAGGTGTCTTGCTTTCCTTCCTCACTAGGGAAGCCACCGATCTAACGGAGTCAGAAACATCGGGAGGGGGCTGTGATTCAAGAAATTCTACACGTTCTTGAAGTTCTGAAACCCTCCTTTTAAGGCTCTTGAGCGAATCTGATCTTCCAAGTAAGAAAACGGAGCTTCGGGTTGAGGGCGGTTGATCTTTTACTGGAAAACTTCCTGATTTAGGAGGAGTTACACTGAATTCTCCTTCCGTCACCGAAGCATCTAACTTACTTTCTTTCTTCAACGAAGCATCCAATTCACTTTCTTCTGTAGGAACAGTTTCCACACTTGTCAACTGTTCTCCTTCGCTTTGCTCCCCATTTACGGCTGTTGGCGACTCTTGCTCTGGTCTTTCACAGCTTAGAAATGGATTCGTTGATCCGGCTTCAGGTCCCATCATTATTTCAGACGTCTCTTTGACTTGAATGACTTCGAGTGATCTTTTTTCTTGGCTGGTAGCGTCGGCATACTCATCCTTGATAAAATCAATGGCACTTTTGTGTTCCCCTGTTAGTGCGTCGATGTCTATAGCTTTGTTTTCAATGCTAAGATGCCGCAGCAATTCTTGAAGAAACATACGTAAAATATTAAAATTTACAGTTCCCACCTCTGGCGTGGTTAGTGCAATGTCCAGAAGCTGTTTCAACTCAATAAAAGTGGGCATATTAATGCTCTTTAGATGACAGTATTTCAGACGCAAATTTCTTCCTTTGCATGAACGATTAAATGCATGCGTTCAGCTAATTGATTACGTTATAAAGTCCAATTTGCACGCGCAATCAAAAATTAGGTTTATAACATAACCAAAGTAAAGCGCGCGCTCTGATTGGTCAATTTAGCTGCGAATTCTTCTGGAGGCGGCCTCTCCACCGGTTTTGGTTTCATGGATTCCATTCGCGACTCCAGGTAACGCTTCAAGGGTTCAACTTCCTCTCTGTCGAGTTTCTTGCCGACGTCTGAGTGGATTGCTTCTATGGCTAATTTCAGGGCGTTTTCCTAAATGGGAAAGATTGTACTCAACTTTCT